TAGATAAGATATAGTATAACAAAAGTTTATATAACACTCATTGCCCAGGAAGTGCACAAAGTGTTGATACAGTTTATCATAATTATAATAGTTTCTAGGAAACTTGTGCGTTTACAGAAACATTCCCCACTGTTGCAGCTCCAGACAACAGAGGCACCGAGTTCATGGTAGGGTTTCTCGAGAACTTTAGACCAACGTACACGGAGCTTGAGCTGTCCATCACCAGTGCAAGTTCCACTCCTACTTCTACTTCAGTCAATATTTCTGCCCCTGGTGTGGGTTTCACCCGCCGCCTGACGGTCACAGATGCAGCAGTGCAGGTCGTGAGCCTCCCACAGTCCCTCGCGCTCAGCGGTAATGAAAAGGCACAGAAGGGCGTTTCCATTACATCAGATACAGAAATCATAGTGTACGGTGTCAACAAGGTTAGTGCCTCAACGGATGGGTTCCTTGGTCTCCCAAAAGATGTCCTTGGAAAGGAATACTTTGTAGCTTCATACACCCCATACATTTCACATAGACCATCGGAATTTGGTATTTTTGGTACTGAAGACAACACAGACGTTGAGATCAAATTACGGGGAAATACTGTGTATGAGGGAGTGCCTTACCCCACAGGAAGTGTCATCAGGTTGGTTCTGAATAAATTCGAAGCTGTTCAGTTCCAAGGATCGGATCTAACAGGTACACACATCATATCAAACAAGCCAATTACACTAATGTCTGGCGTACGGTGTGCCGCGGTCCCAACTGGAGTCATTGGTTGTGACCACATCGTGGAGCAAATCCCCCCAGTGGACTCCTGGGGCAGACGGTTTGCTACAGTCCCTCTTGCTGTCCGTACGGGAGGCGACATCTTCCGCATAGTCGCTGCCAGAGACGGCACCATAGTCAGTGTCACGGGACATGCACTGCCAGCTAAATTGCTTCATTCGGGGGACTTTTGGGAGCTGGATGTTCCGTCCAACGTCTACCAGGTCATCACGTCATCTGAGCCTATCATGGTTCTGCAGTACAACAAGGGAAGCGCCGCTGATGGTGTCAACACAGACCCGTTTATGATGTATGTCCCCCCAATTGAACACTTTGCCGCTGACTATACTTTTGCCACTGTAGATGCCGCGGGCTCAGTGTTTGACAGCTACGTTAATATTGTCATAAAAACTACTGAGAAATCCGGACTCCTCTATGACGGAAACCCTCTCCCATCCTCCACATCATGGGTACAGGTTCCTGACACTGACCTGTCTGCTGCGCAACTGCACATCAATGCTACTGGTACTCACAAGATCAAACACAACTCCGCTATTGTCACCTTTTCTGTTTTCTACTACGGCTACTCCTCTTATGACTCAGTCGGTTTTCCTGGGGGCATGCGCTTTGAGCATATCTCTAGATCTGCAACAGCTTGCCCAAACGGGTACATCTACCACCATCATAGCCGGTCCTGCTACAAGGCCTTCAACCAGGAGAGTAACTACACTCATGCCGTAACGACCTGTTCTTCTGACGGCGGAACCCTCGCCATGCCCCGCGACGCCGTTACCAACACCTTCCTCGTCAACCTGAAGAACGCCGTCGATAACAGCGCTTTCTTCCGTTTCGGAATGACTGACATCCAACAGGAAGGACGCTGGGTGTGGGAGGATGGTGTTGCTCTTGGGGGTTTCAGTTCCTGGGCTCCAGGACAACCTGACAACGGAAAGGGTGGTAACGAAGACTGTGCTGAGTATTTCCCCGTTACCATTGGGAACATGTGGAATGATGTTCCGTGCCCCGATTACCCTTCTAGGAAGTTCATTTGCCAAGTCGCACCGACTTAACAGGTTGGTCTTCAAGCGACTAGTGGCGTCAAACATTTCCTCCTCCCATAGCCATGTTTATTACAGTTGAAAGTTGCGCTACTATGAAACCTGTCTTCTTGTGAAGGGCAATACGTACCGAAAACTTGGTCCATTGGACATTTACGGCATCTACTTCACGATCTTAGGAGTCATACAACGTATTAATAATCTTGTAATGATTTAGCTTGTATGGACGTCCGACAGCAAAGCTACGTGTTTGTGTTATTTGCTTTAATTTTTATCAAAGTTTGCGTTTGGCACATAGGCAGCATTGTCTGTCTGGTTTTAATGAAGTGTCAAAAGTAACGACTCAGCCAATATATTCGAATTTTGGAAATGGCTTTTATGTGAGTGGCATCTGGTTTTACAATATTACTACATGTATGTTGCTTAATTATAAACAATTCTGTGCTGCATCATATGACAATGATGACTATATCCTATACTGTATTAACCCTATCTAGACCGGGCTTTGTTGGTATTCGTGGGGCAAACGGTATATCGTATGACCACCAAATTTTCAGGGGATGGTGTACTAGTAAAAAAAAATTAAATCATAACAATAACTTTGATGTATTTATGACGTATTATGACATCATCATGACGTCATTAATGTGATTTGATGAGAACTGCTCGTTGATGAGAAGTACGTGGATGTAGAAAGAAAGGTTCATCATACATGAATATGTATACATACAAGCAAACTCAATGCTTGGGTTTGTAAAGCGCACTGTAGGATATAATTCCAACACAGACATTCGGAAAACGCTTTACCTTTCTCTTGTCAGAAGTGTATTGGAATATTGCTCACCCATATGGAGCCCTACATCGCGTTAACTCACAGCCCTTATCGAGGGTGTACGCAGAGCAACGAAATTCATTCTTGGGCCCTCCGCTGAACACCTCGATTACAAGTCAAGACTGTCTAGCCTGGGCTTGCTGCCCCTTTCTTATAGAAGGGAAATATGTGATGTTGTGGTATTTGTTAAGTCCCACGCAAATGTGTATGTTCGGATGTTGCGAGGCTGGCTGACTTCTCTTCAAGAACACCCCGCAGCTCTAGGGCACACATGCTAGTTCCAACAACAGTAAAATCATCCTCTTTTGCATCTTCGTTTATACCATGTGTTACAACGATTTGGAACAAGCTTGATGCAGATAATAGACGGTTAGGAATCAGGGCTTCAATCCTAACTGATGTAGTTGCCTTTAAAAGGAAACTCTCCGCATTTATGTATAACAGATTTTGCCAAACTTACAGTTTAGAGCAACCCTGTACGTGGCAGTTATCTTGTGGCTGCGCTACATGCCTGGCCACAAGACCGCGCTAACTGTGACATTACTGCTGTAAATAATGTAAATAAGTTGACTTGCCTTGTAGTTATGGCTTCAACACACCACGAAGTGGTGTGGTGAAACCATATTGCTTTTTCTGATGTTTCTTCTTCTTCTTCTTCTTCTTCTCCTCCTGCCATTTTTTAAATGGATTCAGCTTCTTCATTTTGGGGCCTAAGGACCTGAAATTTGGTATGGAGGTACAGTGGGCAAATACCCCCAGGCGTTTTTTAAATTTTGGTGATACAGGCTTTTAGAATGGTTTTATTTGAGCTTTTTGGCTGTGTTATAGCAAATGTATTACTGTGCTGTGTACCACGTTTGGGCATGAGTCATCACAATGGATGCAGGGCATCAACCAATAGGCATGCAGCTTTCCTCTATTCTTCTTGCTGATTGGCTGTTGGGATTTAACTTGATTAACACTTGCACAGAGCATTTCCACCTGCACAGAGCATTTCTTGCTGATTGTCTGTTGGGATTTAACTTGATTAACACCTGCACAGAGCATTTTCATACTGACAGTATGTCTGTATTCAAGTGTTTTGGTAGGTATTTCAAGCTTTCCTGCTCCAGCATTGGAATGCGGGGCATGAACGTTTTTTTTTATTTTGAAAATCAACAGTTTGCATTATGCAATTAAAAATCCTAACCAATAATGTAGGGAATAGCTATCCAACTGTTGTTTTAGTTGTATGTTACTTCATATTATAGTTATATCAATGTAAATCATTGTTTTCCCTTGTGTTTCTCATTCTTTCCCTACCATGTCGTAAAATGTGGTGAAGCCATCGCTGTATTTGCTCCTAAGCAAATATTGGCCTTTCTAGTTCTAAGTTTATTTATCTGTTTCTCTAATTGTATTATGTGATTTGATTACTTTTTGTATTGTTTTGTCATTTTATTGGTAGGCGGCTTTGAAAAGGTGTTTCATGTCAGAAACACCTGTTTCGCCATGCCATCCACAGTGCATATTGTACGTAGTAAAACTTAATAAATAAATAAAAAATAGTCTACCAACTGCCAAACCTCAATTACCACTAGGTTCATTATACACGTACTGTCTACTGGCTTTAAAACCTTAACTCACGTCCACAGACGAAGAAGTTGGACCAGTCCACCCTCCAAAGGGAGGGGCAGCATGGGAGCAATAATACCATGAGAAATTCAACATTTGTAGACATACTTTTACAAAAACACTTTTCTACGCTCATCTTAGATTTAACTCCTTTTCGTCTAATGTTTATTACAAATAATGTGGCCACTTTTTGGACTTCAGTGTTTAACACCCTGATGTTTCTATACAATACTACTAGTAGATAAAACTCCTTTGCGGGGGCGTAGTGTCTATGGGATATGTTTTGTATTCAATAGTTACATTATCTCCCGGGACTGAGTGTCTATTTTGCTGTTGAGGTCGGTCCGCCCTGCAGACAAACCGCTCGCAGAAGTCTCTCCGTAAGTACCAAAATATCTGAACACTTCTTCTTCACATCTCAATATCACTCTACAAACCAGTTCAGATGATATGTTCTTGACGATTATCAGTAGAACTTGATCAGGGTACATTTTCTCTTCTCTATCATGAACGAAACACTGTCCAAATTGTGCAGAAAAGTGACGAGTTTTATCTTGTGTGGTTTCACAAATACATGAGCAAACATGCACTGTGATTTACACACGACTGTTGCCATAAAACTACAACATTTGTGTTAAGGCGTACTTTTTTTACTCCGTAAGAAAGGGACCAAAGCAACTATAAGTCCACTAAATCGCGCTCATCAACAATTGCCGCAACCAGTGAATAATGTGTTAGCAAAAGCTAAAGAACCTCGAGATTGTTAAGAAACATGTAAAATGTGTAATGAACCAGTAGATCATCTTCAAGTAAGACGATCATGTCAGCTACACTATGCATCGTACCCCAAACAGGTCAACACGTACTTTAATCTTAGTGTTGACATAGATTGTCTGGTATATCAGCTCAGAATATGGCTCCTGCGCTGCTTCATCTGCATGGAAATGGATTGATTCCGTCTGCCTGTGACGTTGACAAATGTCAGAGTTGTTGTTGTTTTTTGCAGTAGGCCACACTGTGCACATAGCCATGCGATATTCAGTATAAAAAGTGCTTAAATGTGCTGCGCTCTGATAACCCATAAAGTTATCGTATTTGGCAAAGACATCGCATGAGAATGTACATAGTCACATGACAATGTAGTATTTGATAGCGTTCTTATTTCGTACGTAAGGCTAAACCATCTTAATTTTATGGGTGACATCCGCGCGGGCATTGATTTTAGCCTGATCTAAAACAAAGAATAAAGATCACGTCCTCCTGCTCTAGACTGGCTCTAGACCTGAGTAGTCCATGGTAACTCTGGAGGATGGCACCCAGGGATATGAAACTGCGTTTCTTCACACATCTTGAATTTCACTGCTAACAGACAAAAAAAGACATTTCCCAAGGATGCAACGTTGGGTCTGCTTGGAATTCTAAGCTAGTGCCTTTACTAACCCCTTTAATCTAAGTCAACAACCCTAATCACAAGACCACCTTGCCTGCTCGTTGATGAGAAGTACGCGGATATAGAAAGAAAGGTTCATCATACATGAATAGTCTACCAACTGCCAAATCTCAATTACCACTGGGTTCATCATACATGTATTGTCTATTGGCTTTAAAACCTTCACTCACGCCCACAGACGAAGAAGTTGGACCATTCCACCCTCCAAAGGGAGGGGCAGCTTTAATAATAGCATGGGAAATACAACATTCGTAGACATACTATTACAAAAACACTTTTCTGCGCTCATCTTAGATTTAACTCCTGTAAAAGTTTTCGTCTAATGTTTACGAACAATGTGGCCACTTTTTGGACTTCAGTGTTTAACACCCTGATGTTTTTATACAATACTAGATAAAACTCCTTTTGCGGGGGCGTAGTGTCTATGGGATATGTTTTATATTCAATAGTTACATCATCTCCCGGTACTGTCTATTTTGCTGTTGAGGTCGGTCCGCCCTGCAGACAGACAAACCGCTCGCAGAAGTCTCTCCGTAAGTACCAAATATCTAAATCCTTCTTCTTCACATCTCAATATCACTCCACAAACCAGTTCAGATGATATGATCTTGACGATTATCAGTAGAACTTGATCAGTACACATTTTCTCTTCTCTGTCATGAACAAAACACTGTCCAAATTGTGCAGAAAAGTGACCAGTTTTATCTTGTGTGGTTTCACAAATACATGAACGAACCTGCACTGTGATTTAAACACTACTGTTGCCATAAAACTACAACATTTGTGTTAAGGCGTCCTTTTTTTACCGCGTAAGAAAGGGACCAAAGCACCTATAAGTCCACTAAATCGCGCTCCTTAACAATTGCCGCAACCAGTGAATAATGTGTTAGCAAAAGCTAAAGAACCTCGAGATTGTTAAGAAACATGTAAAATGTGTAATGAACCAGTAGAACATCTTCAAGTAAAAGGAACATGTCAGCTACACTGTGCATCGTACCCCATACAGGTCAACACGTACTTTAATCTTAGTGTTGACATGAATTGTCTGGTATATCAACTCAGAAGATGGCTCGTGCGCTGCTTCATCTGCATAGAAATAGATTGATTCCGTCTGCTTGTGACGTTGACAGCTGTCAGAGTTGTTGTTGTTGTTGTTTTTTGCAGTAGGCCACACTGTGCACATAGCCATGCGAGATTCAGTATAAAAGTGTTTAAATGTGCTGATAACCTATAAAGTTATCGTATTTGGCAAAGACATCGCATGAAAATGTACGTAGTCACATGACAATGTAGTATTTGATAGCATTTTTATTTCGTACGTAAGGCTACACCATCTTAATTTTATGGGAGACATCCGCGCGAGCATTGATTTTAGCCTGATCTAAAAAAAATAAAATAAAGATCACGTCCTCCGGGTCTAGACTGGCTCTAGACCTGAGTAGTCCATGGTAACTCTGGAGGATGGCACCCAGGGATATGAAACCGCGT